GGATCACTGCCATCATTATCAAAAGTGCTGGTACAGAAATGTGCAAAGGGAAGATTTTCAAATTAAGGTTGGCCTGTACATATAAATGTTAGCTTGTAAAGCTCAAGAAATACTAAATTGTAGTCTATTAGTCTCCTACGTTTTATTGCCTTTTTGGAATAATCATGTACTTCAGAACATCCTTTAATCTGAGCTGGCTTGTGGTTGTATAAGAATGCAGCTTCTTTTTTCTTTATGCTTTATATTCTCAGATGAGGAAAATTTACAGCATTTTATAAATAAATCAGAACTAAAAAGCAAATTTTCTTCCCACCTTTTTATCTTCATGGAGGCCCTGCTTTAAGGCATTTGAGTGATGGCAGTTTTACTTGACCCCACAACTAGTTCCACTGGAAAAAATAATCTTCAAAGTCTTTTTTTTTTTTTTTTTGGCTTATTACAGGACACAATTCGGTATCATGGTAAAAAGAATACTGTTCTTAGTGAGAGGTAGACCTTTCTCTTTTCAGATGCTGAAAGTTTTCACTTCCATTTCATTACTTTGATAGAAATTAAAATGCATCTCTTGTTAAAATGAATATCATCTCTTTAAACTAAGATAGATATTTTATTTATGTTGAGAAGCTTCCTAAATATTAGTGAAGTTCGATATGTTTGTCATGTTGATCTAGACAGAACAGTGATTTACATTGAATGAGGCCTTTTTTGATATTTAGTTTTACTACTGGCAGGTGTGGTGGGACTGGAGCCTAGATGGAAGATTTCCTCATTTCCCTATGCTTGCTATTTAATATACAACAATTTTTCTATTTGTAAATAGCAATAGAAATTATCAATTAAAAGTAATGTGCATTACTACATAGGTTTTATTTTAACTATTTTTAATATGATTTGTAATATACACCTGGTTATAGGTAAAGTTTATGACTTTGATTTATGTGGCTGTAAGTTAGTTATAAAGTAAATGACTAAATTTGAGAATAAGAATGAAATGATACAGAGAAAATATTTTCCCAATTGAATTTAAAGTCCTTACATTAACTAAATGGCTAATGTGAATATTTGGGCAAAAAATGCAAAAGCAACAGAATTTTAGCATTCGTAGAACAGAATGGATATTTCAGATACTGGTCATATATTTTATAAAATGTGTTAGCAAAATTTTCTTTTGGCTAAGTAATGGTGCATAATTTTTAAATTATATGATGAATAAGTTTTTAAAGTTTTCAAACAGTGTTTAATGTACTTTCTTTTGTTTAAGAAAGACTGACCAAGCAAAGTAAACCTTTGAAAAATTGTAATTATTATTATTTTTTTAATTTTTTTATTTATTTATGACAGTCACACAGAATGAGGAGAGAGACAGAGGGAGAGGGAGAAGCAGGCTCCACGCACCGGGAGCCCGACGTGGGATTCGATCCTGGGTCTCCAGGATCGCGCCCTGGGCCAAAGGCAGGCGCCAAACCACTGCGCCACCCAGGGATCCCTAATTATTTTTTTTTTAAAGATTTTATTTATTTATTTGAGAGTGAAAGTGAGAGAGAGCACAAGCAGGGGAGCAGGGGAGCAGGGGAGGGAAAGGGAGAAGCAGGTTCCTCACTAAGCAGGGAGCCTGATGCATGGCTCAATCTCAGGACCCTGGGATCATGACCTGAGCTGAACGCAGACGCTTAACCAACTGAGCCACCTAGGCACCCCGAAAAATTATAATCCTGATATAAAAATGGTCTTTTCAAGTACTTTTTAGAGGCCCTAAAAAATGAAAGAGTAACATAGAATGAATTAGTCACTGTAGTCCCGGGATAGCATGGAGGTAGCTCTTATGCCTCCTAACCTTAATCCCTTACCTTATTCACCAACCACAGTAGCCTTTTCCTCTGAGCCTGGTCTCAAAATCCTTTTAACAGAGAGTTCTTGGCATCCCCATTCAGTCATTTGGGTCCATCACACCAGAAAAAATGTCCATTAAACATTTGTGACAAAATGTTTATGGCAAATATGCATCTCATTTGCCAACCTAGGTCTAGGACATGGTACCCAGTATACCTTATATGACTTTATGTTCTCATTTGTTGTTTTAGTATTCAGATATTTGAATATTTAAACAAAATATTCAATGTTTGTATCAGGGAAACCCTAGTCAAGCCTTCCTGCTTCTTGGGCAAACTAATACAAGAGAATGAAAATGCACCAGACCAAATTAAAATTCCCCATTGCTGGGATGCCTGGGTGGCTCAATGGTTGAGTGTTTGCCTTTGGCTCTAGGCGTGATCCCAGGTCTGGTGATCGAGTCCCACCTCAGGCTCCCTGCAAGGAGCCTGCTTCTCTCTCTGCCTGTGTCCCTGCCTCTCTCTCTCATGAATAAATAAATAAATAAATCTTTAAAAAATAAAATAAAATAAAATTCCCCATTGCCATCAGAGTGCTCAGTCTTTTGTGTAGTGATGTTTCTTGAATCAGTCTCATTATAACATCCAGTTATTAATCACCATCGCCTACTAGCTAATATTAACATTATAGGCAAAGAAACAAAACATTAAGGCCTTAGAATTTGGCATCCAGTTAACATTAAAGATATTTTAACAACATGGAAGAAAAATGGAGAACAGTAAGATACCCAGGTTCCTGTTGTGAATATTCAACTAAACTAAACCACTTAGAGAAAAGCTTTTTTAAAAGAGTTCCAGAAGCCTGCACCACATTGTTGTAAAATGCAGCAACCAGGAGCTACATCTGGTATGCAGCATGACCTAGAATGGCTTCGCTCTCGTGGAGGGCCTCACACATCCTTGGGGCAGAGTGTGAGACCCTTAGGTCATTAAAACGGTGGCTCCACCTGTGAAACACACATGTAGAAATGGGTTTCAGTGGAAAAGCTGCTTTGTTCTGCACAGGGATATATTGCAGATAGAAGGATATGTGGTGGGTTTGAAGAGGTCAACACAAGTGGTATATAATGAAAAATAAAGGAAAGATGGATATGGAGTATGTTCTTCAAGCCTGTATGCAGAGAGCTACTTACTTCAGATACTATACAAACATGGCGAGGGGGGACTCTAAACTATATATGCATTGCTACATTTCTTTACAAAGGGACTGGCGAATTCTACTGAAATGGAAACTAGGTGGCAATGTTTCTTATCAGTATTTTTGCATTAAAGCTTTGAGAAATTTTTCAGTGTTTTTGGAGAAAATTTGGTATTATATTTTATATCACATATATGTTCTCATTAAAAGGCCTAGAAACTATTAAGTGTCTTAGAGGGGTTTTAAAACTCAGATCTGAGTAATTCCAAAACACTCAAATTACTTTTTGCCCATCTCTTAGACAGTAGCATCATTGTTTGGGAAATGTCTCCCCTCTCCCCAACCCCATCATGATGTTTCTCTAAATTTGTTTTATGTGAGATAAATCACTCCATCTCTCAGCATTCTTTGGTGTTACAGTTAATGAGATAATGTTTTATATGTGTGTAAACTTTTGGATTTCGGGAAAGTGAGCCGAGTTAATCTTACTTATGATGTCTCAGTCTGTTTGGGGGACTGTAACAAAATACCACCAACTGGGATGTTTTCTTACAGTTCTGGAGGCTGGGAAGGCCAGATTCAGGGTATCTGCAGGGTTGTGTTCTGATGAAGACCCTCTTCTTGGTTCATAGCTAGTGACTTCTCACTGTGTCCCCACATGGTAGGAGGGGCTTGGCCTCTCTCTGAAACCTGTTTTAGAAGAGCACTAGTCTCACTTCAGGGGGATACCTTCAGACCATAAAGTGTGGCATCTGGAAAATCAGAAAAGCAGCATGGCATAGGAGCCAACAGCATGAGCTCTAGGGTCAGGGTGCCAGGACTGGTCCTGGCTAGGTCTATTACTAAACATATTGTCTTGGAACTACTCTTTCCTGCTCTGTAAAACTAGGGACATAATAATACTCATGTAAGTTTGCTATGAGAGTAAAGGAGAGAAGATATATAATATAAAAATATTTGCACGCTGCCCAGCACCTAGTCAGAACTCAATATGAGCCATTGCTAACTTTCATACATTTATAACCTAAAGCGTGGAATTTTTCCTTCTATCAGTATGCAAAGATTTCTCCTATTTTGTTGAACCCTTTTGACCGTATATCTTGAGTTCAAGATATAAAGAAATGAGATGGTTATCACTAGGCAAGTCTACTAGAGGGCAGTAGAAACATCTCAGGCCATCAGGTTGCTCTGTTGTGTCTGTCACCCTGCAAGTCAGCTGCTGCTAGACATGCTATATTAGAGATAATTCTAATGGTACATTGTTGTTTTGTTTCAATTGAGATATATTTCACATACTATAAAATTCATCCTTTTAAAGTATACATTTCAGCAGATTTTAGTATATTCACAAGGACGTGCAGCCATCCCTACTATCTAATTCCAGAACGTTTTCTTCACCAGAAAAGACACTATACTGTGTTTGCCTTAGCGGTCATTCCCCATTCCCTCTGTCCCCCCTCTCCCTCCCAGATCCTGGCAACCACTAATCTACTTCCTGTCTCTGAGCATTTATCTATTTGGGTATTTCACATAGATGGAATCATACAACATGCTGCCTCTCCTATCTGGCTTCTTTCACTTAGCATATGTTTGACGCTCCCCCATGCTTTTGCATGTGTCAGAACTTCAGTGTTTTTTAAGGTTGAATAATATTCCATTGTACAACTGTACTATATCTTGTTTATCCATTCATCAGTTGATGCAAATAAATGGGTTTAAATCGTTTTGTTTTTAGGGAAATCTTTGAAAGTAGTTTGAAAGAAATCTTTGAAAGTAGTTATCAGAACACTTTGTCTCTTTTTCTGCAGACAAAGTGTTTTATTGTCAACTTTTTAAAGGGAAGTTTTATAGAATTTGGATCAAAAAATTGAAATCTGAATGTTATTTTAGAGAGGGTTAAATATTGCTCTTTCATTCAAGCCGAGTTCTTTTATTTTACATTTCAACTGTGAAGCTTTTCTGGACTCTTCTAGGGAAAAAGAGGAACAGCTAACTCGTGTGACTGAAGTTCAGAGGTTGCAGGCCCAGCAGGCAGATGCTGCCCTGGAAGAGTTTAAGCGGCAGGTGGAACTGAACTCAGAGAAAGTCTATGCCGAAATGAAAGAGCAGGTGAGGAGGCCACTGTATCATCTTTTTTGAAAGTCACTCTCTCAGTAGGAAGGTACATTTCTGATCTTTATATGACAGAAACATATTTACTTTTAACAAAAGTTTTATCAAAATTAGCCATACAATTGGGTCAGAGATTCAGAATGAAAAAGGAATATTAGCCCTGGCAGAGGAAGATACCCACCTCCACTGGAGCCTGGAAAGAGGAGGTAGCCCCAAACAGCCAAGAAGGATGGCCCTGGTAGAAAGGGCTCCGCTGGTAGGCTCACCCTTTCCCCGGCAGAGCATGTGAAGGGAGGAGGCCCAGAGCACATCTCTGGCATGCCTGCTCTGTGCTACCCTGGCCACCAAGTGGGCGCTGATCAGCAACTCCTTGGTGGTAGCTCATGGAGGGTAAAAGGTGGATGCCCCCTAGGAGCTGGGCAGACAACGAAATGGGTTCTCCTTCGTCCTTCAGGATTCCTTGATTCACCTTAAAGCAATGCCAGCATAGGCATTTTAAAGTCATAGCTACAAACATAGTCATAGCAGGAGTGTGTGTCTTGCTATGGGAGCATGGATTGGCCTCTCAGTAAATTCCCATGAGCAGTTTCCACAGAGCTAGGGCTCCAGTCACCCATGTCTGTGCTTGTTCATGTTCCATAAGTAGTGTTTTGTTGGTCAGTTACAGCAAATTATTTGCAACTGGCATTTCAGGAGGACAGAGACTGTCTCCTGTTCTGGTACAAGTCTAGTGCTATGCTTTTTAGTTTTGAGAGAAAATTAAAAATCTGAAAAGATACAGAGAACAAAAACCTAGGTGCCCTCCATGAGGAATCAACAATTGTTAACACCTGTTTATTTAAATGAAAACATTAGAGATGAAGCTTCAGTTCGCTTTGCTCTGCAAATCTAATCACAATACTCTCTCCTCTCCACTCAGGAGAAGACCACTATCATTAATTTAGTGTTATTATTTCAGTCTCTTTTATACTTTTGTATTATGGATAATGTTCATGTATCTTATATGCGTACATACGTTCTATATGTGTGTATTACATGCATATGTAATTTTTTTGTACATATGTTTTTTAAGTTTGGTGAGTACTACAGATTTATGTATGCCTTATTTGCTCTTTTATATTTAACTGTTTTGTTTTTCAACTGGCTGCTTCGAGTTTATATACTACTTGGTGCAAGGGTGCTCTTTTATGTTTAATTTTATATATCCATGCCCTATCCATGTTGATTTAGTGCAGTCCTTTTAACACTAATATATCATGTGACTATACCACATTTCATTTATCAGCTCCTCTATTCAAGGGCTTTTGGTTTATTTTTGAATTTTCTCAATTCTAAAAAATGTTGCAGTCTTATCTGTGATCTCTTTTGCAGCCAGAGTTATCTTCCTCAGGAGCCCCAAGCACACACTGGGGGGTAGAAACATCCCTGTGGAAGGTTTTATGACTGAGCCCTGTCCTGTTTCTAGTTTGAAGCAGTCGTTTCTTATTGTTAGTTTCTCGATTTGGATTTTCACTCCTGTTGAGTTGTTTGAATCTGGGTTTTGCGAGTGGGGTTCTGAGATCCCATTCTTCTACTCGCTGCCTCGGGCAAAAGCTGGAATCATGTGGAGTGTTTGTGCCAGAAGGTGCAGACCAGCCCCTGCTGCATGGATGTAAATCTTCCAGCTCCCTGCTAACTAGCATCAGGGCCCAGGCCCTAGAATGTGTATTTGGTCCAAATATGCAATGGAGCTGCATAGGAAACTCTGATCTCTTTAACACTAAAGGAATACAGAAAATATTGAAGGAGGAGGCCCCTGGCAAGAAGCTTTAGCCTCAAGAAGTCTAAAAATGAGGCATTTGAAAGTGTTAACACTGACAGTACAACTTCTGAGAGAAGCTGAGACCATGAGAGCTACGTTTGGCTCAATGAATGCACCACTTGGGGCTGATGGTGTAATACTAGCAGATCACAGCACTCATGGGTAAGGAAGGATTAAAAAACAAGCAAACAACATGGAACTCGTGAGAACTTTCTGTAGAGCAAGAAAAAGACATTGTATTCAGCAGTCAGAATAAAAGCATATTTCTGAAGATAATCTAGAGTAGAATTTAGGACAAAAATCAGATAAGCGATATCTTTATAAGAAGACATGATCTATGTAAAAGAGGTCACACATCTTAAATAAAAGTAATATAATGAAACCTGGATACATTTTGGAAAAAGAATTGAATCTCAAAAATAAAAATGAAAATCCCACAAGTTTCTAAGCAGGATGAAACTGGCAAAGAAATTAGAAAAATAATGGACTAATGTTTCAGAGTTTTGAAGAACAAAGTTTGTGACCTGATTTTATACAATATTAAAGAGTTTTTCACTTGTAAAATCAATGGAAAAACACATTCTTAGAGCTCTTATAATGAATATTGCTTATTTTTTTTCCTGGAAAAAAAATTGCATGAATACATCAACCAATCCAGAGATGAAGCAAAAGACATCCCACACATCCTTAAACCATCATTTTTAAGGATGACTAGGAGACAATGGAATCCAATGAAGTAGAAACAAATTTAACAAATTGTTACAAATCCGATTATAAGAAAGAATGCCAAGATTTGTTGATTTTTAAAAAAGAAGGTATATAAAGTAGAAAATACAAATTTAGTAACAACAATTTAAATCTAAATCTCTTGAGTACATTAACGAAGATCAAGGAGATGTGAGTAGTGAGTGGATGAGAGGAGCAGTATGCTAAAACTCTTGGCCATGGAAAGGGGAGACTCAAAGTTCTTAAAATTAGGGAAATGTGGGTTAAAATAGTTTTGGAATGTATAAACATAGGCATTAATAAAATCAACAAGTTGTTACATCCTCATAAAAATCTTGAGAAGAGGGCAGCCCGGATGGCTCAGCAGTTTAGCGCCGCCTTCAGCCCAGGGCCTGATCCTGGAGACCCGGGATCGAGTCCCACATCGGGCTCCCTGCATGGAGCCTGCTTCTCCCTCTGCCTGTGTCTCTGCCTCTCTCTCTCTCTCTCTGTGTCTCATGAATAAATAAAATTTAAAAAAGATCTTGAGAAGATGAAACAAAACTTGAGAGGAGCTATTGCCAAAGGAACAGAAGCAGAAACAGAACGAAATGTCCAAAATAAGACAGAGTATATAACTGTAGTAATAAATATTAACAGGTTAATTTTTTTAGTAAAAAAAAGAAGATATTGATTAGCTGGCTAAAGTCCATGTGTATGCTATTTATAAAAGATGTGACTAGTTTACAGAAAATTATATTAGAAAATGATGCAAATATATCTCTTTTATTTAGAATAAAAGATATAATACCATCATATAAGTTAGCATCAATACAAGTTAATAAACTGGATGAATGGATATATTTTTCATGCTAAAAGCAAGAATACTTAAATATGAAAAAATGTTAGGAATACTTGGAGAAATTGACATAGTCATGGGTGGTTTGAAATATTTTTTTCTCTGTCTTTGACAGATCGGGGGCAAAAACCCAAACAAACAAATAGGAAGTCTAAGTAACAGGTTATAAAACACTTATATTTCTACTTTCTGCCCTTCAAATGTGACAAATTTAATTCCTACTCCCTTGGAAGAGTTATAAAACTCAGCAGACCGTAAAGAAACACTCCATATGTTTCTAACACTTGACATGACGGAGAGCACATATTTTTTACCACAGTGCAATAAAACCAGAAATTAAATTTCAATTAAAATCATAACATTCCACTTCACCAAAATTAAAAACTTTTGCTCTTTGAAAGTCACCATTAAAAAAAACAATAAAAAGAAGTAAGGCAAGCCAGAGAATGGAAGAAGAGATTCACAAATATTTCCTAGAACTTGTATCTAAACTATAAAAGAAATCATACAACTCAATAATAAAAAGACAAACAACCCAGTTAAAAATAGGCAAAATTTTGTACACCTTACAGAAAAAAGATATACAAATGACTAATAAGCACATGAAAGATGTTCAGTATTATCAATCATCAGGGAAATTAAAATCAAATGAAATGCCACTATATATGCTTACTAGATTAAAATTATAAGATTGGTTGATAATGCAGAGTGTTGGTGAAGATGCAGTCACATGGAGCTGTTGCATACTGCCGGTGGGAAAAGTGCCAATTTCTTAAAAAGTTAAGCATTCAGTGACCATTTGTCAGTCATTCCATCCTATGTGCTTAACCAAGAGAAACGAAGACATACCCAGACAAAGACTTGTACACAAATGCTGACAGCAGTTTTATTCACAATAGCCCCAAACTTGAACAACCCAAGTGTTTCTCAGAAGTTGAAAGAACAAAAAACAAAAACAAAAAACAAAAACAAAAACAAAAGAAGTTGAAAGAACAATTTAAGCACCCGACTCTTGATTTCAGCTCAGGTCATGGTCTCAGGGTCATGAGATTGAGCCCGGTGTCAGGCTCTGCACTGAGTGTGGAGCCTGCTTAAGATTCTCTCTCTCCTTAAGCCCCTCTCCCTACTCATGTGCACTCGCTCTCTCTCTCGCTCTCTCTCTCTAAAATAAGTAAATAAAATCTTTTTTAAAAAAAGTTGAAAGAACAGTTAGATGCAGTATATACAATGGAATACTACTCAGTAGTATAAAGGAACGAACTACATGGATTCCCATAACAACATGGATGAGTCTCAAAATCCTGATGAATTTTGTACTGGTATAGTCTCTAAGGTTAGAATTGTCTAGATGATCTTAAGTTTTTTGTTTTAGCAGATTATCAACCCAGTTTGTTTCAGAGTGAAAGTCCTGTCTCATCTTCTGTGGGTGGGTTCCAGTTTCAGTTAAGTTCCAAACCCTTTGCTGTGCTGTGTTGGGTCTGTTTGGATTGTGCCAATCAAGAGTGAGTCTGAGACGTGGGTGGTATTTAACTCACTCCACCCAGTAATCATAGAGGCATTTGTGGGACATTCCCCCAGAGAGACGATCTGCTTGGATGCAAAACAATTCTCGATAGTTTTAAAAAGGATTAA